TAGGTAAATCTTACCTTTGATGTTAGTTCTGTTTGGCGTAGGTAAATCTTACCTTTGATGTTAGTTCTGTTTGGCATAGGTAAATCTTACCTTTGATGTTAGTTCTGTTTGGCGTAGGTAAATCTTACCTTTGATGTTAGATCTGTTGGGCATAGGTAAATCTTACCTTTGATGTTAGTTCTGTTTGGCGTAGGTAAATCTTACCTCTGAGGTTAGTTCTGTTTGGCGTAGGTAAATCTTACCTTTGATGTTAGATCTGTTGGGCGTAGGTAAATCTTACCTTTGATGTTAGTTCTGTTTGGCGTAGGTAAATCTTACCTCTGAGGTTAGTTCTGTTTGGCATAGGTAAATCTTACCTTTGATGTTAGATCTGTGGGGCGTAAGTAAATCTTACCTTTGATGTTAGTTCTGTTTGGCGTAGATAAGAGCGGCCACACCAGTAAGAATACCAGGTAAATGAAGGACAGTGCATTGTACCTCACCGCGCACGCTGTAACAAACCAAGGTCAAAGGTCACAGGAAACTAGAACAAGTTTATAATGGCTCAGATGTTACTTAATAGTGTAGCTGAATTGATTTATAAATTATTATTTATTTCTGTCATAGTTTAAACAAACTTTTGTTTTTTATAAATATAAACTTTATTTATTTTACAACAATTATGAAACAAGTTATTTCAACTTACATTAATCACTCTTGTTTGCCCTGATGTTAGCGTACCAGGGTCTTATTGTGGAAGCTAGGAAACGGGAATACACGGAGAAAACCCATGTGGTCGGCAGAAGATCTCATATACCTTTTCACATCCTATGGGGGAATTGAACCCCAGCCGCCTTGGTGAAAAGCAAGTGTGGTATATCCACTGCACCACCCGACCACCTTTTGTTTATTTCCAAAACATGGGTTAGCCAGGTGGTGTAGTAGTAGATGGCACACGTACTTGCCTTTCACCAATGCGGGCAGAGTTCAACTCCCTGATCAGACGAGAAATCTGAAACTATTTTATAGCACATTATTAACTTACCTGCCAGTAAGATGATGGGGAGTAGCACCCTAAACAAAGGGTAGCAAACCCATTTAGACACCTGAGTTGTCATGACGACAGCACTTCACGGTTCCTCAGGGGTAATCCATGTCTTTTATACACCGTCAATCATTGTAGTTATATCTGGAAAATATATACGTGACTAATGTCTTATAAAATAAAAGATATGAATCAAACGTCTGCCATATAAAACACAAAAGATGTAAAGATGTATATATAATATTAATTTCCTGACTTATCAACACGTTATTCATTAGTCATGGCAATTTATATATATC